GGGGGGGGAGTGGTCTGGCGTGGCGAGCGCCGCTCTTGTTATCACCGACAGGGCCGGGCCAGGCCGTCAGACTGCGGGTGCGCCCCGCCCCGCCGCGCCCCGTCCGCGCCGCCGCCCTGGTGGGAGCCCCCTGCCCAGCCCCTCCCCGCCACACCGCGACAAGGACGCGGAATGGCCGTTTTACGGTCGAGAGCCCGGCCTGGAGAGTATACCAGTGATGTGCCGCTGGCGGCTGGAGGAGGAGGGTGGTTGGCGATATATTTCTCAGGTCACCAGCGCTCGAGTGAGGCATTGCGACCGCCGAATATTGCCATTGCCGCCGTAAAAAAAATCTTTTAGCTGTCCTCGGTATGCACTTGCTTGCTGCGCGGTGCCCTCCCCCGCCGTTCCATCTACACATCTACACATCTGTCCGTCCATTACCGTATCCGTTGGCCGAGGTTAGGGGCAGCCCCACTGGAATCAATCACTCGATTGCACTGGTTCGTGTTTATCGCTCCTGTGCCCCCACCCATCCCCGCCTCCCCCTTCAGCGCCCCACTCCACTGCAGCCACTCTCGTAAAAGTGAAACGGCCATTATCGGCGGAAAAAATGTCGTCGTTGGCGCGTTTTGGGCCGGCAGCCGTCACATGTGAGCGTGGCGGGGGTGGGGGCGCCCGGCCGCTCGGGCCGCACCATCCCAGACGTGGCGTACATTTCGACATGTTCCAGGAAATGCATTTCGAAAATTTGGCGTCGGCGGCCGTGGACTAGGGCGGGGCGCCGAGGGCGGGGTTCTTTCCACTGCTGCGAGACGGCAGCCCGGGGAAAGGGTGCGCGTTGATTGACAGCTGTTTCCGGCCCCCAGCGCCGGGGTTATCTGGCTCCCGCTGATAACAGGGACAAAATCTCATGATGTGCACACAGAACATGTGTACTCTCGGCTGGTTTATTGTGCACACGTGTCAACAATCTATATCGGCCCCAGCTCGATTACTCCAGGTGAATTTGTCTTACAATATTTTTTTTTCGGGCTAATGGTAAAGAATTTGTATGTGAAAAGGACGGGGGTGCTGTCTTCACCTCTCGTTGTATTATTTTTTATCCAGTGTTTGTGTGCCGTCGCGTCCCGCTGGTCGTCAATCTCCCTCTCCCCTTGGCGTCCTTAACGTCATCGAGATTTATACAAGGGTCGGTGACCCATTGCCTGCCGTGTCTGCGAGTGTGTGTGTGTGTGTGCGGTCGGCCGGTGTCGCCCTCTGGCGGCCGTCGCCCAGAACTGGGGCACGTCCGCCCGGTGCGGCCGGCGGGTAGCGCGGCGCGGCGTGGCTTCGCGCTTCGGGACGCCCCGTATACTCCGTTTTATGATTACGGGATGATGCTGTAAAAGTGGGGTGCCGTAAAGGCTGGTTGTATACACGGCGGGGTTCGCGCGCCGGCCGCGATGTGATGCCCGGTCTGATGTCACCGGCCGTTAAGTGTTTTGTAACGCGGGGCGGGGCGGGGCGCAGTGGAAGTGCCCCCTGCGTGCGCCACCCCGCCTCTCCGGCTGGATTGTCCCCTCAGGAGGCCTCGGCGGCCTCGCCGTGTCGTCTGCTTTAGTGGCTGGGCTCATTATTGTCGCGCTGGGAAGAGTCAAGGGAAGGCGGAAGTCCTGAGGACGTCCGAGCGGCTGACCGGCCGGAGCCTGGGAGCCGCTGGCGGCGGCCGCTGGTCGAGTCACACCTCTCCCGGCCCATAACTTTGCGCTGCTCCGCGACGGTCGAGGCGGTGATTGAATCCATCGCGCGCTCATTTTATTGGTAATGAAACGGGCGGCTCGAACGGCGGCGCCATTAGTTACCCGTCCAAGTGGATCGCTACTTTGTTACACGTTTGGGCGTTGTTTGTAGGACAAGATCCGTCCTCCCACCTGCTGCTGCTGCTTCTGAGATGGCGCTCTGGTGACGCGCGACGGTGATAGGAGAGGGGGGAGAGGAGTACGATAGGGAGTCGCAGTTTACCTCGCACTACCCCTGCTTGGCTTGCTTGTTCGCTTTTAAATTGCCCTCCTTCAACAGCTTCCAAAATTGTGCTGCTCCCTAATTATCAGCAGCAGGCGTCGCGTGTCGGGGACCCGCTCGGGCCCACCCCGCCCCACCCTGCCCAGCCCCCGCCCTGCCCCGCAGCGCCCCCAGGCATGCCCGGAAACGACCTGGATTAAAATGTGGCAGGTTGGCTGGTCCTGGCGTGGTCGAACACGGCATAGCTGATAGTGCGTATAGTAGTATTTTTCTGCCGGAACTCTATTTTAACTTTCGCTCGGTTTTCCCTTTACCTGCTAGCTGTGTACGTTATGCCCACAGTCCCCCACCCCCCGCTGTACGTAATGGCCGCGTACGTACACCCCTCGCGCGCTTTGGCTTTTCGTTCGGAAAACAACGCGTCTGTAAATATTTCAGGAGGATGGCATGCCGTTGTCGTGGGTGTCGGGGGGTGAATGGGGTGGGTGGGGCGGCGGCCCTGGCGCGCGTACCCACACCGTTAAATGGACACGCACCCCGCCAGGCCCCGCCCTGACGTTGTCCTGGGATTTAAATTGTTGAGCGGCCCTGTAAATGTTTGAGGACGTGTGTGCGCGCGCGCCTGGGGAGGGTTGAGGACCTTCCTGGAAGCGGCCGGTGCACTTTTGCGGTGCGTGCCGCTGCGTGCCGCGGGCGCAGCCGGCGCTGGCTGCAGCCCCGGGGCCAAACCCCCAAAACGATAAGGCTAAATACGTAATGCGCCCCTCGCGCGCGTCGATACAAAGCCCGAGTGGCGCTTGCGGTTCCAGTTGCGGTCGGGCCCGTGTGTGAGTGTGTGTGCGCGCACGCGCGCGCACCGCTGACAGCCTGCTGCACACGCCCCCGCACGCACGAATACCAGGGCCAGTTCGTGGTTTTGTGTCAATGGTTGCCCCACCCGAATCATCATTACTTTTTCAACAATAAAGAATAATAATAAAAAGATCGGCAAGGTAGACGTCCGTTGCGCCCCCGCCCCCTCTGGTTCGGTGCGAGCGCCCTGGTGGCCGCTGGCCGGCTCGGTTTGTCGCCAATAACCGTGAGTATTATGGGGCACTGCGTGGCGGGGCGGGCCCAGCTGTGCCGTGTTGGCTCGAACAACAGAGTCTGGAGCAGTAGTTACAGCGGGGTGGGCCACCGCTCCTTGAGCCGGCCTCTGGCCCTGGGCGCCGCGCCCCACGCCACCCCTCCCCGCCCCACCCCGCACCCCGCGCTAGACGGTAGTAAAGTACGCCGCGTTGATAGCACGTAAAAGTTGGCGACAGTGGCGCGGCCGGCCCCGCGGCGCTTTAGGGCCGAATAAGCATCCTTTCATGTTTTGTTGTTCTAGTCTTGATGGTTTGTTAAGCAGTTGCATTTATCTCGCGTGGAGATAAGGCGGGGGGCGTTTAGGGGCGTCTCGCGCCCCTTCTACGCTCTTGATGAACCATTTCAGATTATGTGCGAGTATACGACTTTCTTACTTCTTTCCTCGTCGTCGTCCTCCCGTCTGCGCCGCTGCAGAGTGGCTGCTGCTGCCGCGCGAGACTTTCACTCACGATCGGAGATTCTGCGAGTGAGCGTAATTTTGATGGCCTCCCCCGGATTTGTTGCGCTTCGCCGTTTGGGACGTAATGGGACATCCGCGCCGCGCCATTCGGGGGGGATGTAAGGACCGCCGTCGTCCCAGGGAATGCCGAGCTGCTGGTGCTGCACGAAAATAAAGTTTCGATGCCCACGAATTTTGTCGGAAAACTTAAACCCTGCTCCTCCCCACCCCCTTCCCCCGGCTTTTCCCTCCCTTATCCACCCCGTGGCTGGCCCTCCCTTATCTCGGTGGGATCCGACGGTCAATGGGTGCTTCTTGCGGGACCGTTTTTTTCGGCTTTCACGGCAAACACACACACACACACACATGCACACACACACACTCACATACATGCCCAACCGACACACGCATTTACCCGTACGTGTGATCGATTTTCGATGCGCGGTAAAACAAACACGCGTGTCCACCTGGTGAGGTGTGTCCGTTTGCCTTGAAATGTTATCCGACGCGTCTATTTGGACAGCGAGTGCGACGGCTGAGTATGTGCCAAAGATTGTCCATCTGTTTGTTTTGCTGCCGATCGTCAGAGTCAACAGTAGTGTTGTGCGCTGCTGCAGCCCGCCGTGCGCGCGATGCAGGCCAGGCACAGCGGCACATGAATGAGAGTTTCCCTGATTTGACGGTTGGCGGGCCGCCGCCCGCCTGTTTGTGTTGGCGACGATGATGAGTAACCCGGTTTTTATTGTCTGTTGCAGGCACCCTCTCTTCCCCCTCCTGGCACTTATCTTCGAGAAATGTGAACTGGCAACCTGTACACCAAGAGAGCCGGGTGTCACGGGGGGAGACGTGTGTTCATCAGAGTCATTCAATGAAGATATTGCAATTTTCTCAAAACAGGTAAGAAAAGTTCATTGTGCTTTTTAGTTCTTTTAGATTTTATAGGGGCGCCTGCCGACAGAGAGCAGAAGCCCCCACAGCCGCTCGCGGCGCACGTAGAATCCTGGATATATACAGTGCTCTAGGGGCATGCTGTTTACCTCATGTCTGTCTGCGTCGGTCTGCGTGAAGGTTGCCGCTGCCTCCCTCTCTTTTCGTGGTTCCTGCCAGGTTGCCCGCTTTTAGCTCAACCACCCTCGGGTTTCCCTCAGGTTCTCGGGGGAGAGGGTGAGACTTCGGGGAGCACTACGCTGAAGCACCCTTGAGCCGCGGCGGACTCGCCGTCTCGCCCCTGTGTGTGCGTGTGTGTGTGCGCGCGCGCCCGCGCGTGTGTGTGTAAACCCGTACTCTTATCTGCGTGTAATTGTTGCTCATGGCAATTGGATTAAGCTCCCGGTGGCTAGCCCGCCGTTGCAGTTGCGGATCGAACCTCTTGTCTCTGTCTCGCTCGCTTTTCCTCTCTCTCTCCCCCTCACTCCCCGGTGCAGGGCACATTTGTTTTCTTTTCACGATTGAGTCGTCTTGATCGCAGCGCGATGTGCTCGCTCTTCTGCACCATTGCATCGGAAGGTTGTTTTTTTTCCTTAATTTTTATTTTCCCTTTTGAACGACCTCACCGCGGCGCTGCCGCTGCACAAGTTCGGGGAGTGGCCCCCCGGACCGTCGGGCTCCTCGGATTGGATTAGTCTGGAGGTATTTAATCAGGTCTTCGGAGCAGGGGGGTGCCCCCGCGGCTGGCGGGGCGCCTCCCACGCCCGGCATGAGGACCGCACCGCCGCGCCCCACCACGCCCCGCCCCGCCGCGCCGCGTCCCGCCGCGCCTCGGCCCGGCCGGGCCCCACGCTGGGTGAGGCGTTTACGTGGACAATGACGACGCAGCGGGCGGCCCTAAGGTACCTCTCGCTCTTGTCGCACTGCACCGCCACGCCACGCCGCGACGCACCGGATGGACCAAGCCAGGCCGATGCTCATTTATATCGGGGGGGGGGGGGGGGGGGGGGTATGCCACAACACGATAGCGCACCGCGGGTATCTACGCGGGAATTAAAAAGGTCGGCCGGGCGGCGGGGCGGACGACTCAAGGCCGCCCTGGAGGAATGCGGCCGGGAGGTCGCTCCGTAGACGAGCCTGGACCGAGAGAGGCCGCGGTGGAGGAGCAGCCTCGTCCGCATCTCGCTTTTGACGCGTTTCGACGCCGGCTTTATATATATTTGGACCACGAAAACTGGTCCGTTTTTCTGTGACGGAAACGGGATTAAAAACCGAGCGCTCCTTGTCTTGCTGCTTTGATGAAAGGCATCTCCTCCACGAGGCGAGCACAAACAGTCTGTGGAGGATCATTGAATGCGTACGAACTGAACTGGAATAAAAAAGGTGAACCGGTCTCTTCACAAACATAGCGGCTCGGGAAGAAGGGGCCCGGCTCATCAGCGGTGCCGCAGTGTCTGGCCAAGGGCCCAGCGGCACAAAAAAAAACTGAACGGGTTTGTCCTGCAGATCCTGCGTGCCTTCCTGCGACTGCGGCCCGGGCGACTCGGAAATGGAGGGCGATTTCTGCAGAATCCAGCGACCGCCAGGTGCCTCGGCGTGCCTCTGCAACGCTCTGCAGGCACTGCTGTTCTCTGGGCGCTCGCCGCCGTCTTCCTCTCTCTCTCTCTCTCTCCCTCCCACTCGCCCTCTCTCCCTCTCTCCCGGTTGCGGTGGTTCCTTCTGCTAGTGGCAGGAGCAGCGATTTTCCCGAGAAAAATGGCGCCCAAGTGCGTTCACCTCGCTTGGGCCCGTCTCTCTGTGGTCGGGTCGAATTAGACACGAGGCGCGGCGTGGCGGGGCGTGGCGCGGCGTGGAGGGGCGCAGCAGCGAGCGGGTTGGTCGTCGCCACGAGTCGTGCACGCTGAGCGGACCGCGCCGGGCGTCGCTCTCAGCCCCGCCGCGCCCCGCCGCGCCCCGCCGCAGCTATTCGTCATTATGTCGGCCGTGAGCGACCCCTTGCCTTCCTCCGCCTTGTATCTGTTTGCATCACAATGGTCCTCTTTGCACGCACTCCCACGCGAACCGCCAATCGCGGCGCGTCCGCGAGGCAATGACCCTCGCGAGGACCTCAGGAGGACCTGCTGGAACGCCCGTCGCTGCCGCCGCTGCTGCTGCTCCTTGCGGTCCATCTTTCGGTGTGCACTCGGCGTGTTCACTCGCAAAACCGATTCGAAAACACGATAAAGCCTCGCTGGCGTCGTAAAATCGGTCGTTAGGGTGGGCAAAAGGGACGAGCCCAGTTCAGTTTGAATGCGGTAATTTTATGACTCGGTAAATATGTTTGGTGGGCAGGCAGGGCCGCGGGCGGGGCCGCCGGCAGGGCTGGTGGTGCTGGGCGCGCTGGGGCGGCGCTGGGGCGGCGCTGGGGCGCTGCTGTTGGCACGTCGCGCTCTGAGTGAGTTTGAACGGCGTGTGTCCTTGCCAGTTTGTAGTGTCTGCCGCCCCCCCCCCTTTTTCCCCGGCCCGCGCAAATCTCTTCTCGCAAAACCGACCCACACGACGACGGACACCACCCAGCGCCGCGACGCCCCACAAATTTATGGCTTTATAACGCGCGGTTAATTTATCGGTGCGGGCTGTGCGGTGGCGCTGGGCATCCCCCGTGACTGCGCCGTGACGGTGCCGTGACGACGCGCGCGCGGCGGGTCACGCTGTGACGACTTGCTTGGAGGTTTTCGAACCCTTTCTTTGTGGCGGTGGGTAATTTTTCGGTTGAGCTTTGCGCGTGCGTGCTGCCGTGACTGGTACCTGTATGCCCCCGCCCAACCGTGGTGCCGGGCGGGGCGGGCGGGGCGGGCGGGGCGGGCGCAGATAAGATAGGTGCTGCACTGGATGTGTTCGTGCGCAGTGCGTGCGTGGTGCGTGCGTGGCACACAGCTACCAAAACATTCCTGGCCTCCCCGTCGTCCTAGTACACTTCCGGCAGGGCCGTGTGTGTGTGTGTGTGCAGCGTCCTTGTGTTGAGGAGCTGCGCGTCTGTTCCAGATATTGCCTGCTGCACCAGGCTGGGGGGCAGACACGCGGACTCGGACGGACAGACTTGCAAGAGGGCTGCGAGGAGGAGGGAGGGAGGGAGGGCGATGCGAGGTGACTGAGATGCATTCGGAATGAGGGAGGCAGGGACATAACGATTGAGGGGGTTGGGGGAGGGGGGGGAGCCACTGGGCCCGGACTGCCCTGTGCGAGCCTTGTACCACCGGTATCGCGTGAGTGCGTGCGTGCAGCGGCCCGTGGGCCCGGCCCCTGCCCCTCCGAGGTTTGAGCCCCCCGCTGGTATCGTTGCTGGTGGCAGGGCGAGCATGGCGAGCATGGCCGTCTTGCCTCCCCCCTCCCCCTCTCCCCGGCCCTGTGGAGGACCCTCTGTGTGGCCTTTGGCGCGGCCCCTCGGCCTCCTGCCGACCTGCCCCTGCCCGCCCGGCCCGGGTACAGTAAATACAACTTCCACGTCGTCTTCCTGGCCGTGTGGTGGTGGTGACCAGGTGGTGACTGACCCGTCTCGAGGGAAAAGGAAATTCAGGACGACGAGTTGGCCAATTATTTTCCGTATACGCGGCGCTGCCTCTGGCGCGGCCCGTCTAGGTAGCCGGCGTGGAGCCGCGGCGGCATCCCGTAGGTCGTGGCGCGGCGCGGCCGCCGCTCGCCAGAGAGGAATAGCGTTCTTGGAAAACGCGGCCGGCTTCGTAGAATGCAGGGCGCGATCCCGAGCGCTGGCCGAGCTGGCTGGGCAGCAGCAGCAGGCCTGGCGCAGCGGCGGCGCGGCCCGAGTACATGAGCAGGCCGGGCAGGCGGAGCAGGCGGCGTGCCTGGAAAGGGGAAAAATAAAGGATCGGCCGGCCGGTCACTCGTTGATGCGTGTTTTTCGTCCGTCCGTGACGCTGCGCTGCGCCGCGCGGTACGTTCGTACTGTGCGTACGTTTCTTGTGCGCCGCCGCCGCCGCGCGCTCATCTCTCATTTTTATACACTGTTTTATATGGTTTATTACAAACGTGACGGCTGCCGTTTATCGCTGCATTGTCGCTGGAGGCTTGCTGGAGGCTCGCTGGAGGCCCTGGAGGCTCTGTGGGTAATTATGTCGACCTTGGGCGTAGCTCGCGGCGGCGCGCGGCGCGTCTCTTTGAGGAGGAGGCGCGGCCCTCGCGGCCAGCCTGCGGCCCCTGCGGCCAGACGACTCTCTACACACGCACCGTCTAGGAGACCGAGCCGAGGGTCTTTGATTTTTCGGGTGGTTTTCGATTCGGGTCAGGGCGGGCTGCCCGGGAGGTGGACGCGGCTGCGGCGACGGGGTCAGATTTATACACAGCCCGCCTACGCATTCCCGGCGCGGGACGTCTTGCGGCCGGTCTGCACGATGTCCTTCATTGTATCTGCGCGGATCAATCGGCACGTGAGTGTGTGCGCACGTTATGCACCACACTTGCTGACGGCTGTGAGGCCTCCGTGCACGCGATGGATGCTCGGCGCGCCGCACGCGCACGCACGCACGCGCACGCACGCACACACACCCCGCCTGGTCACGCTCGTTATACAACGCGATGAATATGCAAAGGGTCCAAGGACGGGGGGCGTATGTAGGGGAGGGGGAGGCACAGCCCAGCTCAAGGTCCTCCGCGCCGCGCGCCCAGGGATTTGGTGTGCACCAAGATACCTACCAGGCTCTCGGCCCTTTGCCTTACCTGTACACTGCCAGAAACAGAGGTCCGGGACTGAAAATGCGTGATATAAAAAGAGGAGCGCCGGTTATGCCGGGAGAAGGACAATCATGTAGAAGGGGAAGGGCTGAGCCCGTCCCCCGGCTCGTGTTGTGGCCCTCTCGGAAACGTGTCACTTTCTGTGAGAAATATTTTTCGAGTTGGTCGGTGCATGTTTTTTGGTGGCTTGGCTTGGCTGGCTGGCTGCTTCACACACAGCTGCCCCGGCGCGACGAGCCACA